TTATATCATCCTTTTTTTGCCTATTGTAATGCCCATTATGAGTAGTATGACGTTCTATCAACGTCGTTAAACTATTTCATCCTATTTAAATTTAACTATGGAGATAAATGTATAGGAAAATACCTTGACTAATGAAAAATACCTTTTAAGGTAATTTCTTATTGTTTTCAATAATATTTTCTAATCAAACGATAGAAATTGTGAAAAAATAATATTTGGCTTGCTAGTGGGACACCAATTCGTTTTTGTTTGTTTGTTTGTTTTTTGTTGTTTTTTTGTTGTTGTTGTTTTTTTTTTTTTTTCATTTTTTTTTTTTTTTCATTTTAAGTTTTACTAGTATGTTATAACATCATTGCTATAATTCTGCAGCAGCGTCCTTTCTTTGCTTCTGGAGATACTTTATAACAAGTAGATTTACTGTCTACATTTTTAAAAACATCTTTTTGCCATTGAAATATGTTTCAGCTTTATAAATAACATCATACTTATTGATTTCAGCACTTCGAATGTCATTATTTTTCCATCAGGGAAGATTTTCGAATTCGTAAAGCTAATGCAATTACATTGTAAAACGTAAAAGAATATTTCAATATTCTAGGAAGGACACATTTTAACTACAATAATTTTAAATCAAATATACAGTAAAACAAAATACTACTAAGCTGAAATTTTACTTGCATTTTACCTACCTTTCATTTAAAATGATATTCATTTTTAAAATAATTTTGACTTCAGATCAGAACAATTCTATTTTTTCAATTAAGTTTCTCAATAGATATAAATTATTATAACAATGTTTCAGCCAAGATTTAATGAATGTTACCTTATACATTTGAGCCGCGTCACGACAAAACCAACATAATGGGTTTGCGACCAGCATGGATCCAGACCAGCCTGCGCATCCGCGCAGTCTGATCAGGATCCATGCTGTTCGCTTAACAACTCTATTACAAGTAGAGAAACTGATAGCGAACAGCATGGATCCTGATCAGACTGCGCGGATGCGCAAGCTGGTCTGGATCCATGCTGGTCGCAAACCCATTATGTTGGTTTTGTCGTGACGCGGCTCATTTAATTCTACGATTGCTAGTGTATACTGACTGTTTCAACGTATTATATTAAGCTAAATATTTTTTTTTCTATTTCTACCACAGGATGATTATAAGCTGATTCAACAAATGTACTGTATTTGCATATGAGGTGCGAGTGTATAAATGTATGTTTGGTAATACTATATCAATATTTATCCTTTTTCAAAACCATATATTTGCTATCGTGTTTAAAATCAAAATGATTTATAATTCAATTGTCTCTTATAAATTATAGAGAGGAAAATACTCGACTGGATCATCAATAATATTTGAAAATTATGAGAAGCTAACTGAATCCCAAATAAGATTATTTCAAACGGTATGTCATTACCATTTCCTGATTAAAATATAATTCCCAAAAGCTGTTAGTAACTGTGATAAAGTTATCTCTCTAATGATACAGAACTACCTGAAATCCATTATGTAGTTAAGATAAGAAACACAGAGAGTTAAAGACTCATCTAAATACTCTTCCAAAACAAGCGGTCAGAGGTGATTTTTTTCTTTCTGTTGTAAGGAAAAACGTGTGCTTTGTAATGTTGTTACAAGTATTAGCATTTCCAAAAATGCTTGGAATCGCCGTTCAGCCATGAATATAGAAATAATATTTCCTTTCTTGTCTAATACTTTATTGTATGTGGTCAACACATAAAGCCAACAAAAAATACTTGATTTACTCTGTCAAAATATTTTGACGCATTCAGTTAGATTATGCTAGGTAGATACTCAGTATTGCCCATGAGTAAAATATAACAATAACTTGACTTGTAGTACAATAAGTTAGACTTCATGCGCTACTTAATTTAATAAGTACGTGCATCAATCGGCAAAAAGAATTAGCTTCTTGCGTAATTAACAACAGTTACTTGCAGCACATTAAAATTGATGTCTGTGAATATGCTATAAATGGAATTTACGTTATACATACTCCTTCGACTGCTAGTTTTTCAAACAATGTTGTTAATACATTTACGATAAGTAGATACACGCATGAAAAAGGATTAGAGCCGAAAACTATAAAGCTTATAAAGGTCTTCTACATATTTGTACAATGCAGTTAAATTATGACAGTGTTTGCAATATTGTTTGAAACAATGAAGTTAACTTTTAACATGTTTGGAACGAAACAAATCAAAGACTTTAGCTATTGTTCAAAAGATCTCTTTTTAAAGAATATAAATTATTGAATAGAATTAGAAAGAAGGTAAAGAAGATTCATTCGGATAGATCAAGTTGGTAAATTATTTTAGAAATCGGTTAATTTCACGTATATATACTAGTACATGAACTGCTTGAACAATTTTAGAATTAATGTCATAGTTAAGATTCTGGTCTCCGTTTAGAAAGGTATGACTTGTTATAGTACAAATGTTAGAAGCAGCATCATATAGTCTGATATAATTATAGAAGTGACACTCAAAGAAGAAGTGGTTGTTAGGAGTCCACATTGACAATTTGGTGAGGGGGGCATATTTTTTCTGAATAAGTGCTTGTTTAAAGAGCTCCATTCTGTTCGGAGCCGTGTGTGCATGACTTGCCATTCACATATGTAATAGTATTTGTGCATTTTTTTATATAACCAATAAGTTGCGTTTTAAAGGACAAAGATATTGAGTTTTGTACTTCTGTTGATAGTAAGTTCCAATCTCTCAAAGTAGATGGCAGAAATGCATTATGGTAAAGGGAAGTTCTTGTTTGCATGTTATTGTTTGCATGTCAGAAAAATTTCGAAAATTGTACCTAGACGTTTCTCCAACTGATGGTGGAACGAAGGACGATAACTTATCTGGTGTGAGACCGTTTCTCATTTTGGAAAACAAAATAAGTTTGCGATTCTGTCTACGGACTATAACTGCTATATGCGATTATGATGCAATAACAACACTCATAGTTTTGGAAAGTAAACAAAATATACTCTTTTTAAAACTACATTCTCTAATCAGAAATGACATATAGCAAAAAATATGGCAATTTGCTAAAGACTAGTACTGAGTTCGTACATTGTATGATTGATAATGGTATTTTTTCAGTTGCACGAATAAGTAACTCGACAAAACCTCGCGGTTGGGCAAGTCCATTTAAGCATCCCTCATTGAAGATTTTTGAGGTCCATTTTATTATCATGTGATACTGAATTATTCGCTTTGATTGGCTAAAGGCAGGCGGTGTACATGTAGAACTGTTCAAATCTTGTCAATTGTATATATCGCCGTCCAGGAACGGCTATAATAATAGATTTAGATCCGTTAAGATGCTTACCACCTTACGAAATAGCGCTGAAAGTGATTTTTTTGCCATAAAGGTAACAAAATACTAAATAATTTTAATTGTACTTTTTGCCAAAAGAAACCCTAAAGAAGCCAAGCATGGCTCAGTCATGACCAATGCTTAACCTTTTGGAAATTGTAACAGAATACCGAACACAAAAAGCTTTTGAAATAGTAGTTTTGATACTTAATGGGACTTTACAAAGTACATTATTGCACGTGCGCAGTGCTTTCATTCTCTCTGCAATTGATATTTACTATTATAATATCGGCCAGCTAGCATACTTCGTCATCATTTGTAATCTTTTATTAATTTAAGATTTTTGTGGTCTGACAATGTGTCGTCAAATTCCAAACAGAATTCGATTACATAGATTTCAAAATGATTATGCTTTTGTCTGTTTATATTAATTAAGCAATAGTAAATTTATTTTATCAAAGTATTACCAATCTTAGTTGGCAAATTACCCATGTTTTAAAAAAAACTCTGAATGTTTTTTCTGGGTATTTTAATTCATGAACTTAGTTTGAACATTCGATCGTATATCACGGTAAAGAGAAATGTTATCATCTTAGTTTCTATTTTACTTGTACATCTAAAAATTTGTATATATAAAAATTGTCACGAGAGAAAATCCTGAGAGTCCCCCAACATGGAAAATTTGTAATTACTGCAAGCTTATCTTATTAAGACTGTACATGGACGATCGTGGTTAGTTCAACGCCCTGCATCACGCGTTAATGAAAGTAGTGCAATGCGGATTTAGAAACACCCGCTGATGTATAATTCATACGGCGAATAATCCATGTGTAATAACAAGCTTGATGATTTTTATCGTTTTGAACTTCCTATAAATGCAGGTGTTGAAGCGATACTGAATAACAGCGAGTTATGTTACAAAGGTGTCATAGAGTTCTGTGATCTATTGGATTTTCCATCTTGGGGAACAAAACATATCAATTTTAAATCTAATTTCATCCAGCAAATTGACATTGTTTCAAATTAATGCGCACATTCATTCGTTTTCACGCTAGTACACATACTGCCAACAATTTTCAGTTTTCCCATTTGAATTACAACCATTGTACAGGAAAAGGTATTTGTCAAGTTCAGTAAATAAAATTCCAGTTTTTTCTGTATCATGATGCTTGAATCTTGTGAATTTGAAAGAATCTTCTGTCAAAAATGTCATTATACAAAATTTACAATTACAAATGATAATTGTGATATTAGTAATTTGCCGATCTATAAATATTTATTACTGCTGTCCATGGTTTGGGTTTTTGTATTTACATTTCTGTTTGCTGGTAGATCAATGATGTAAATAATTTAGTTTGGTATTTTCTGCCTTTGTTTCTGTAGATTTAAAGCATTTCACAATTACTTGGGTGACCTTAATTTTTAAAAATAAGGCTTTTACACCCGTGTTGCTTTTGTTTTAAAAGTTCCCTTTTTTTAGTTAAAATAACCCCCATTCTCCTGGATTTAAACGCACTTTAAATTTTTCTTGTAATGAAATATAAATGTTCATTGTTCCCAGGAGATTAGCAACAAATTTATGGAGGGCAAGGGATTAGAAATCAGTGACTTTAAACTCCAATAACACGACAACATTATTAAATTTTCAACAAACAACCAAAGTACTATAAAAAAAATTTTATTAGCTCATACAAAAAAAGAAAAAAAGCATCACAATTAGACAAGAAAAATGACGGGATGGATTCATAAATAAATTAATCATGACAAAAATATGTGAACACATCACTGTATTCAAGCATCTTAGCACATTTAAGAATGTTAAATATATAATTGTACAAATTATTTCATCAAGATCTTTCCAACAAATCATGATAGAGAAGGAACTATTATAAATAAGTTACCAGAGCACTCTTGACATCAAATACTTAGGATGTGATAAAATTCAATCCATTGCTAGACATTCTACATTTGTGACTTGAATTATACGATTCCCCAGACTCATAAAATTTTTGATGAAATTTGTTTTACCTCAAACTCGATTGCTTGTATATCAGAATGGAAACGTAAATATTGCCAAAGTAAAAATTTGGTAAATATCATAAATTTAGAAAAACTTAGATATTCCTCAAGTGTAATTCCTTCCCCTGATCATTTTATAAATAGTTTTGCACTTTACCAATATCTTTCCTAACATACATATTTCATCTTTTCAAATATTTATCCATAAAGTTCACCTCTTAAGTTTAATTTGTTCATTGAGAACTTTATTACAATAAATTTTGTACCGAGGGTATATAATTTTTGTCAAAAGTTTTAATTTATAATTGTCCAGATCTTAGCGCTTGCTGATAAGCACTGCCTTGCTTCTGTTCCTGGGCCAGTTTAATCATGTCATCAATACGGAGGATGGTAATGGCCGCCTCTGTCGCAAACTTTAGAGATTTGATCTTTGAGATGGCCGGCTCCAGAACTCCAGCTTTCTTGTTATCTCTGACAACTCCCTTGTACAAGTCAAGACCAACCCTATATTGATAAAGAAAATATATATACATTATATATATAAAAAATTAAATAAAATATTTTAAGATTGAGCAATCAATATGATCTTTTACATTGAAATCTTTTATCCCAAGACCGCCTCCGTGGTCGAGAGTTAGAGTCGATGACTACCTCTCTGGCGTGGGTTCGATCCCCGGGAGATGCTTTGGTAGTTTAGCAAGGAGGAAGGTAGTCTAGTACTGGTGTAACTCTCCAGGAACGATGGTTAGAAAACTACCCGCCTATATCCTTTAAAATTGGAAAATTATTGCATTGCTATACTTAATCTTTACTTCTTTTTATTATAACATGACAAAGGCAAATTGAATGAACATACAAGTTTTCATTGATATGTTGTTAATTTGTTAAATGCCTGATATCTTTACTCTGTTGAGCTTCAAAATTCTTCATTTCTTGTATGGGAACATTAAAGAAAAAATGTTAATTATTAAATTTAAGAACATGCAGACTTTCCCACATTTATTGTAACTTTAACAAAGTTTTGTTTTTGTTTGTTTGTCTACCTAACTGGCTTCCTAATCAGACATTACCAATTTCTCCACAACTGATCACCTACCTATCCCACATGATTTCTGAGTAACAGATAATTAACATATCTCCTAAAATGAAATGCTACTAAAGCCTTCATTACCTGGGAGGCAAAATACGAAATATGTAGGTACCACTGAACAATATTTCATTTTGTATAAGCATTATAACTTACATTCGGAGCTCTCTCTGTTCTGGTTTAACTTGAGACATATTGTGGTAGGCTCTTAGTTTGGCCACTAAATCAGTTGAGTCCTGTGCCGCATTTACAGCCAATTGTTTAGGTATAACCAATAGTGACCTGGCAAACTCTGCAATAGCCAGCTGTTCTCTTGAACCCTGTAATAGTTTAAAAAATATTACATAAATGTCAGATAAAAAGTCCTCAACAGATAGATGTATGTAAATGAAATATATATAGTGAAAGGAATGCATGTATTCAAAAGTATTCCTGCTTAAATATGTTCTAAAATGCATCATTTAATGAAAATTTGCTAAGTTATCATAGATTTTGCAAAGGATTAAATTTCATTTGTTTCACAAATTGAAAATATACATGAAAAACATTCGGCAAGTATCTAAGCATATAATTTTTCAGAATGTACAAATTCATGAAAGTACAAATTTGTTCATTTCATTTTTCAAATTTTGGCCTTACAAAAATATCCAATTTTACAGCATAATTATTCTTTCAAAACAAGTGTATCCTTTTTTTAATTCTGTGTTGTTAACCATGTTCTATACTTTAACCTCAGTGCAGTAACAGCTTAAGTCCTGTTAAATTTAATAGGGGTTTATCAGTAATTGCACTAGGGTGACGATAATATATATGAAGGAATACATGGCCTGGATTCTTAACATTATAAACATCTCAATAAATATCCCCCGAAAATCTCACTTACCAGTGATGTAGCATAATTTTCCAGGTATATTGACAATGCAGCCTCTACAGCCCCACCCCCTGGCACAACAGTCTTTGATTCTAGGACACGCCTCACTACACAAAGAGCGTCATGTACTGATCGTTCCATCTCATCACAGTAGAAATCGTTCGCTCCACGGAGGATGATACTGGCCGCCGATCTTGCCTTTGTTCTATAAATAGAACATCACAGATTGAAAACTTGTACAAACATTATTATATAGTAAGTAGTTTTCGGGTGGCATGCTTTATGAAAAAATATTTTTAATGTACAACATTCTGGAAATTGATAAGACCTACAAGGTCCAACCAACATGGAAACATTTCTGTTTGTTATATCCCATTTGTATAACCTTATTATATCAGTGAATATGACAGGCAAAGTTCTGGGATAATTATTAGGATTGAAAAAGATCTGTTTAGACATTTCAGTGAATAGAATAGGCCAGGACAAATTCACAGTTATCTGTTAGTGTTACAATTACAGAAAATGACCATAAATGAGAAATTAAACAAAATGGTTAACAAATGCCAGACAACAAATGCACACTAGATAAACAAAGTTACTGTGCCCTGTAATTGTGTACCTATACATTTCAATGTGTATCCAGACTTGCAATTACTAGCATTTGTAACATCCAATCACTGTACCTAACTTGGGAGCCTTTATATTTTAACTTGAACTTTTCTTTCAATGACAGGAAGAAGACTTGTTAATATACTTTGAAGTGGGTCGTGACAATGAAAATGGTGAGCTAAAAATGCATTTGATACTGAAAATAAAGTCTAATGCTAAAAGTGATTTTTGTTTATCTTTTTTCTTAAATTGTGTGTCAAACATTCTGGAAATTGATAAGACCTACAAGGTCTAACCAACATGGAAATGTTTCTGTTGCTATATCCCATTTGTATAACCTTATTATATCAGTGGATATGACAGGCAGAGTTCTGGGATATTTATCACCATAACACTAACTTTTATAGATGTTATTAAAAATCCCTATTCAAATAAATGGATTTGTCCATATTATAAAATGGACAAGTCCATTTAAGATATTTAGCATGGTAAAGGTTAAGTTGCTTCTGTTGCAAATGTAGAGCATTTTTGAAATTCCTAGTTAAATGCAACACAGTGTTGACCAACTAGTTAAATGTTCAAGTTTGTCTATCCCAATAGCATAACCTCTTGTACTATCAAATACCGAGGTAGTAATTTGGGAAAGTAGTTACTATAAATTGACATAAAAGCTGCACCCCTCAAGATGTCACGAGTCAAAATATTTCAAGAAAATTAAGCTTGAAGAAAATGTACTAATGTACACTGGAGCCGCGTAACAGCGCTCTTCGGTATAGCGCTAATCTCAGTAGAACGCTCATATGCCTTGGCTCCCAAAAAAAAAAATCGTATTTTTCGCCGATTATAATTTTTTTTCCACGTATATCAATACCGCACCTTATCCACTATAACGCTTGTTCAATGTGTCAGTCGAGTGCAATAAACAGTCATAATTACGTCACTCATGATAAGAAGGTGTGAAGTCATACACAGGTAAGCGTTAATCCGCTCTTTTGTTCATTTTGAACAGTTGATCAGTCAGGTATCAAACTGTTAGCTAAAACATGCAAACACCGAAGAGTTGAGTAAATCACCCAAGCGTACAATTAATTTTAAAAAGCATGCACTTTGGATCTATCGGCAAAAAAGTTGTTGAGGATGACTGATTTTTTCACAAGAGACAGCAGGAAAGACGATTAATTTAGTCCCATCCACTAGGTATCAATTTTCATGACCACACATAACACACGTTAACACCGCTGTTTTACTGGAAATTTATAAACAATTGTACATTCGTGGTTTATATTTTTAATTCGTAAATTTCATGTTTATATTAAAGATATTCAGTAATGCTTTACAAAATAATTAATAATAATATATAAACAAGAAACATGGCAATGCCATGAAACCAGGTTTTCAATTATCACCATTGTAGATAAATATGTTGTATTTGAAATACAAATACAAGCAACAAACAATGTAACTATGTGCAATGTAAAACATGAATAATGTAGGAGGAATTGCCACTGAAGAAGTGTTCACTATAATATTATGTATAAGGAAAAAAACAAAGGGCCATAATTAGGTCAAAAACTATCCAATCACAAAACCCCGACAATATGTGCCAGGGTGCTTGATGACAAAGCTTCTGTGAAAGTTTGAACAAAATCCGTTGAGAAATGTAGGACGAGTTCAGCACAGAAGAATTTGTTCACTATAATTATATTGATAATTCTGTATAATGAAAAACAAGTTACAAAGTAGACATGAAATAATATATCATATCTTTTTTAAATTACCTCCAAAGATGATATGACCTTTGACTGCCAAATCAAGTTAAAATCATGTAAACAGGAATTTCAATGTTAATGTCACTGTGACCTTGACCTTGGAGCCAGCCATGCGGAACATGCGTTCTGCACGTCATCTTGATGTGGTAAACATTTGTCTGAAGTTTCATCAAAATTCTTCAAAGGGTTGAAGAGTTACAGAGCGGACAGGATTTTCAATGTTAATGTCACTGTGACCTTGACCTTGGACCCAGCCATGCGGAACATGCGTTCTGCACGTCATCTTGATGTGGTAAACATTTGTCTGAAGTTTCATCAAAATTCTTCAAAGGGTTGAAGAGTTACAGAGCGGACACAATTTCGTTTGACGCCCGCCCGCCCATCCGCCCAGCCGCCCATCCGCCCGCCATAACCCAATCTAATAACCAGGATTTTCAAAATTGAAAACCTGGTTAAAAAGCTTGGACTGATATCCATTGGAAGGTAAGTAATATTAAAGTAAACAATCATTTTCACTAACAAGCGTTATATGTTTTGGCGGTGGGTGGGGTAATGCGTTATTTTCGCTATAATTACACAATGAGCGTTATAAAAAGTTACTCGTTACAACGCTGTCTTGAGATCATGGACCCCAACATGAGCGCTATATCACGGCTCCAGTGTACTAAGACTTCAAAGAAAAGTAAAAAGATTCGAAATTCCAATAATAATTTACATGCTATGTGCAATTAATGACTGATTTTTCTGTCTTTATTGTCTGACTAATGCAGTAAGGACTATACTTGCATATTTTGAATTATTTTCATCTCTCTTAATTTGGTAACTTACTCTCTGTGTTCCACTTAACAATATTTTACTTTCAAATACATTTTTTTTTTTTACAATTAGCATGAATCTAGAGGCATGCTGCTTAAATATATATATAAGAGGACATTAGAAGAATTCTCATTGACTCCATAGACTATGTGGACCTACTCATATTCTTGTGAAGACATTAAAAATTGTTTCTTTCTTTTTTAAATGTATATAAAGTCAATGTCTTTTGCCATATTTAACAGACAAGAAAATAAATTAACAAGTATGAGAAAATTATTGTTTTTTAAAGATGTATTTGTAAAACATTCTGGAAATTGACAAGACCTACAAGGTCTAACCAACATGGAAATGTTTCTGTTGCTATATCCCATTTGTATAACCTATTATATCAGTGAATATGACAGGCAAAGTTCTGGGATATCTAATTCTGCTAGCAAAGATTTTTCCCCTTCATCTGACATCATACCAATGTACAAGTAAACCAATTTTTAAAACAGAATAGCTTCTAGCAAACACTGACTTCCAGAAAAACTTTTTTAAAACATTTAAATTATAATATTTTTTGTTGGGTTTTACGTCACAACAACAAAGTATAGGTCGTATGGCGACTTTCCAGCTTTACTGGTGGAAGACAAACTCAGGTGCCCCTTTGTGCATTATTTCAAGCAAAAACAGGCACCTTCGTAAAACCACAGACAATGCGTAAGCTAATTGGATATAGCTTTCTGACATGACAGAATCAAACACACTTTCACGACTCGAACCTTAAGTAGCAAGAGATGATTGATCTACAATGGACACATTTTCCATAAGTATTTCAAATATTTATAAAAATAATAGAAATGTATCATTGTAGTATTCTAATAAAATATTGCTCGAAAAAAAAAAATGCGGTTTAAGTTCTAAATAATTTTTTTATAAAGATTTTATCATCTGCTATATAAATAGTTGTAATAGCAGATCTTGTAACTTACATTCATCAACAACATCCTTATAAATAAATTCTTTTGTGATCTGTTGTTATATCTGATACTAAATACTATCACTGTAAATATTTATTATACTACAGAGAACTTCCATTTTAAACAAATTCACATTATCAAAATGCTTTACTCCCATTAAGGCTTATTCTCCTCTGTTATTGTGAAGTTTAATGTAGAATATTTTAAAACAAGAACAGATCAGTTCACCAAAAAAGTTTGAACTACACTGTCAAACATTCAAATTGCTTTATCCCAACAGCATAACCTTTTGTACTAGATAATACAGAGGTAGTAATTTGGGAAATTCAGGTATCATTGACTTGTAAGAGATTTGTTGCATTGAACTGACCAACTTACGTCCAAATGCCTTGAAACACTGAAACTTATCTTCTACTTATCTTACTTACCTTAACCTGATTTTGTTTTAATAAATTTGCCTTGCTTTGATTTAAACATATTTATTTAAGCTTGATTGCGAAACAAGTCCTTGCAAATTATATTAATCACATTTGAGTCCACTTCCTGGAACTAACCAGTACTGGTGTCATATGAAGAAACATGGTTGTGACCTGATTAGGGCTCAAACCCATGATCCACCGGTTAAGGGGTAGACACCTTAACCACTAAGCCACCGCTCCCCTGCTTGCTTTGAATTTAGAACAGTCCATTGATAGTTTAAGGGAGTCTAAAAATACAAAGACTGAGGAGGTCAGCAGTATATAGCCTATTTAGATTACATGCATGTATAGGCTGGCCTGGCTCTATACTATCGACATAGGAGGTTCATCACTTTCAGTTCCTACAGGTTCCTGGTAAATGTGGAACATTCTAGAATAAACAGTTCAAATTAAAAAGTTTAAATGAAGCTGTAAAATGTTCAAATTGCTCTATCCCAACAGCATAACCATTTTGTACTAGAAAATACAGAGGTAGTAATTCGGGAATTTGAATTCTAAACAAAGGACAATTGGATCAAAAACCAACACAAATTAAGTATCAAAACATGTTTCGAACAAAGTCAGCAGACTTCTTCAGCCTCAAGAAAGAAATGTTTCTGTCACAAAAATTCTCTGTTTAGATGACCCTTGATGAAATGTACTAATTGAAAGTGGCATATAAATCTGTCTCAGCCAGTTCAGGTTGGAAATTCTAATAGAAAGTTTGTGACATCATAGTGGAATTTTCTACAAGATCTAATGCTCCTTAGTATATAACTTGAGTCAAGTGGGGCATTCACCATTACATAAACTACTTTACTGTAGATGAATTAAAACCTTCACAGTAAAAAGAAATCAGCCCTCTTAACCACTTTATAGATCACAAACCTCAGTGCAAATTCAATAGCCGTCATATATCAAAATCAGATGAAAGATAAAAGCTATAAATTGTTAAGGTTATTGCAAGCTCCTAGCTGTATAATTATTATCTTTTCTCATTAATTCTGGAATTTAATTGATAAAAGTGTTATTACCTTAAAAATTGTGTGCTCATTATCTTTCACAATTTGTGAGAAGTATAAAGTTCCATGGATAAACATGGGAACAGTTCACAGTAATTACCCTAAAGACACATTGTGCCTCAAAAGCCGGTTAATTTTCATTCTGTGTTAAGGGCAAGAATAGGGTTTGAATCAATTAAATAATGGTTTTAGGGCATGTATGATGCTTACAACCTGAAGAAAGAAGTGTTGAATGTTAAAATGATTGTCAAAATTGTAGCAAAATGTAAAAAGTAATATTTTAACTTCCACATAAAAGTCTAAATCACTATAATTGTACTTAATGCAAAAAAAAGACAGAAGCAAATGAGTATTCAGGTAATTGGCCAGTGAGTTACTTTTTGGAAACTGTAATGGGACTCATGAGAAATAACAATAAAAGCATACTGGGTCATAATGGACCAATAAAAGCAACATTTACAGCAAAACCTGAGAAGTGTAGAATCTAATTCAATAAAAGACCAGTAGGGGACTAATAAGGCAAAAATTAAGTTTTACATCTTAACATTTAAAACAAAACATGTAAAACAATGTTAAACATTCTGGAAATTGATAAGACCTACAAGATCTAACCAACATGGAAATGTTTCTGTTTCTATATCCCATTTGTATAACCTATTATATCAGTGAATATGACAGGCAAAGTTCTGGGATAATATGACTGGAGAGGACTTGTTTTATATTTTATAAATCTGTTGTGAAATATAAAGTATAAAGTATCTGGAAATAGCTTATACTAATTTATAAGATCTAACCAACATGATGATTCTTTTATTACTTTATCCCATTTGTAAAGCCTCTTGTATTAGTGGTGATGACAGGCAAAATAATTCAAGTTAAATTCTATCAAATGCATTAAAATTTTAAAAGGAAAATAACATTAAATTTCAAGCAAATGGACAAAACCTGTAATGCCTTACAAATATAGAAATGTTGCATTTTCCCTTTTTCCTATCCCAACCCAAAAGATTTTAGATTTTTTTAGGACAAATAAAGACCATTTCCAAATGTCACAACTATATGTATATGAATAATATTCCTGAAAATTTGCTTGTTTGATTGAGTTTTACATCACACCAACACAGCCGAAAATTTGTAAAGATCCCCCTAAACACCTTAATTTTCAGGCAAAAATGGCTTTTTGTTAAAACATTGCAAATGTGTATCAAATCAGATTTTAAATCCATTCTCCCTTGCCAACAATTTTCCTATTGTTATCAAAGCTGAAATTTTCTCAAATACAAGTGCTAGCTACAAATAGTAAAGAATACTGGAGATAATCAGTGGATAAGGGATAGAATGGCCAAGTTTTAGCTGTAGCATGTTATCAGATAACAATCTGAACATAACAAGGCAAAATTAGATTTTACATATTAACGTCTTAAGCAAAACATGTAAAACAATGTTAAACATTCTGGAAATTGATAAGACCTACAAGGTCTAACCAACATGGAAATGTTTCTGTTGCTATTTCCCACTTGTATAACCTTATTATATCAGTGAATATGACAGGCAAAGTTCTGGGAGTCATCTTTACCACGGCAACATGACATGACTTGATGCCCTTACGTATAATGACGACATCAATATTAAATTTTTTACCTCTTAAAAAAACAACTCTACTGTGTAAATTAAAAAATACTAAAAACTGAAAGTTAGTGTCTCAAGGTACTGACATTAAAATTTTGTTTAAGGCTTCATTTACCTAGAGTCCTATGAAAAATTTCTGATTCCCCTTCCCCCCCCCCCCTTTTTTTTTCTTTTTTAATGGTTTTAGAGCATGTATGAAGACTTCTATAGAAAAAACAGATTCTTTCTGAATTTTGAAATTATCATGACAACTTTTCAGCGATGTGAATAACCTTTCACACTTTAACAATGTTACCAGCAACATTCACAATCAATACTGGTAAAAGGGCAAAGGCAAGCTACATACCCTTTCACAAGAATGAGTTCGTCATCGCAGATTCTTTCCTGAACGACCTCATCTGCGTGACCTAAAAATGACTGTTCAAAAGTCTCCTCACCCTCAAGGTTGGCTAAGGTTGTTATCAGAACAGCTGAAAATAAGAGAAAACATTTCCATATTTTGGGAAAGTATATCACTCTTATGTTTTTTATTTAAATATTTTGTATCATATTTTCATTGATCAACTTTTCTTCGGTGTTGTTTCCTAGGTTGTAATAACAACCCTATTCTAATGGCTTTGAAGAATGTCAAGTCATTTTGTTGTCACTTTTTTATTTTTTTTTATTTTAATGCTTTTATAAAAGAGTGTTCACTACAAATACTCATTCACAAAAGACCAAATATTTTCACTGTAGTAACACCACTGCATTATAGGGTAAGCAACGGTGTTTTTATATTATCATAATGGATTGATACTGTTTTGATTTTGTTTATACCTGCAGAGGGTTTAAAATCCAAATCTATACTGTATGGGTCAGCAAAGTAGCCTGGATCTGTACCAGTTTATTTTTGTTTGCTTTTGTTTATGATAATTTTACAACTCTTTTCTTTTTTTATAAAAAGTCGTAACTTGGCTTTCCTCAACTAACCAGAAACCAATTTCTTCATAATCAACCAAATTCTCATAACAATATAATTTCCGAATCAGCCATGATGGACAAACCTCCAGTAAACAGATGTTCCAGAGGTCTATTTTCAGGGAGATATTTCATCTCTTCTGAGAATTGAACTTGTGACCCCTGGAATACTAATCTGATGCTCTCCTTATAAAGCTAAGCATACATTTAGTCTATTAATATTGAATCCAGTATTAATAAGTGTTTACAGAGATCTAAAATAACATGTTTCGTTTAAATTTACCTCCAGTTGCCTTGGCAATTCTCTTCAGATCCACTTTTTTACACCTCCTTACCGCCATAGCCCCTGCCTCGACAAAATATTTTAGACATAAATCATCTATACCACCAGTTGTTAGGATAACGTTTGCCCCTGATGATAAAATCTTCTCTATTCTTTCCTTGGTAATATCAGATTCCCTGTAAAATATACCAGTCAAGTATAAAAATATACCAGTCAACTATTAGCATCTCAACAATTTAGCACTTGGCATGGTCCACTTGTTAATTACTCAGGATTTTCATTTTTATCTGAGGCAACAGACATGCCAACAAAAAACAACCAATTAGGTTGAGCGGGACGGGAGACATTTAAATTTACAGGCTGAAACTAACACTGATTTTTACCAATGATATGGATCCAAAATCTGTTTACAATAAAAACCCTTAGTAGCCCGGGGTTCTATGATATCAAGGTACTTATCGTTTATAGAAAAATATTTAAATATAAATAACATAAATGAATGAGATTTTACTTCCATCTTATAATTGAACCTTTTCCAGAACTGTTTGTCAAAAAATTATTTCAAAAGAACCAATAAAAATGACATTTTTTAAAATATTTTCAATGTCTGCCATTTTGGGTAATTTCAGAGGAGGTTACTAGGGTATCAAGGTAATACCCAAACAAGAGCGATCAGTAATCACATGTGTCGCCTCATGATGGCCAATTTCATGTTGGGACAAATTTTGTGACAGACGGACAGACAGACGGACAGTGCACAACTAGACTAACAACTTTGTACTGATCATTCCTGTAAAGTTTGGATAAAATTGCACCAGTAGTTTATGAGGAGTAGTCCGGACAAGCTTTTTAAAGGGCCATAACTCAAACAAAAATCATTGAACCGGAAAATGCTGACAATATGCACAACTAGACTTGGTACTGATCATTTGTGTAAAGTTTGGATGAAATTGCACCAGTAGTTTATGAGGAGTAGTCCGGACAAGCTTTTGTGTATCTGGCAACACACAGAAAAAGAAACCTTTTTATCAAAGGGCCATAACTCGGCCAAAAATCATTCAACCGGAAAACCCGTGCAATATGCGCAAGGACTTGAGCTACAGATCAATCCTGTAAAGTTTCATTGAAATTGCATTAGTGGTATAAGAGAAGTAGTCCGGACAAACTTTAAAATTAAAAATTATTAAAGGGCCATAACTCTGACAAAAATCATTGAACCGGAAAATCCTGACAATATGCACAACTAGACTTGGTACTGATCATTCCTGTAAAGTTTGGATGAAATTGCACCAGTAGTTTATGAGGAGTAGTCCGGACAAGTTTTGTGACGGACAGACGGACAGACAGACGATGGAGAAGTGATCCCTATATGTCGCCACTACTCCGTAGAGGCGACACAAAAAGCAAGTATGGAAGGATAGATGGGTCAAAACTTTCAAGTAAAGTTGTGAAAAACTTCCAACAGTTAACTTGCTATAAAATTAAAACTATATGAACAGACTATATGTCAGTATATGTATTTAAAACATATTTTAATTGACTGTGTAAAAACCATTAAGGAAAATGGTAGTAAAATATGAAGGTTTTATAAAATAGTTATTTTTGCCACAAATATATTCATTATTCACCAAATTAAATTTATTGGCAGATGAAAATGAATCTAGTGTGCAAGTTTTACAAATATCAGCATCATCATGTGTTGCTTTTACTAGTAGTTTCAGAAAATTTAAATACCTTGATATCATAGAACCCTTGATATCATAGGAACCGAGTATACTATAAACAAGAGCACTGTATGCGGTGTTAACATTGATCTGTTAACATTTCTTAGTTAAAAAGAGGCATAACTCATTAAAAATAGCTTCCAGAATTATACCCCTTGTCTACCAACTGCACCTTGTCATGAAAAACACAAATATTCAAAGTATAATGTGGATAACTATAATGTGCTACACTACACAACAACAATGCCGCAGAGATCACAATAGCTCGATTTTTTTTTTCAAACAGACGAGATCAAAATGATCAAGCACCAGGTTCCATCATTCATTATAAACTTTCTACAACCAAGAAAGACACAAATACTGTTCACACACCTGACAAATCCTGAATGCCCTTCCACTGAATTGGATATATCTCCACCTTTTTTCTAAGCGCTAAAAAAAAAACAACACAGCATTACCATGCAGTGTAAGGCCAGTCACAAGATTAAAAACCTGCTCATTTTCTCCCACTACATTCTGGTTGTTGCGCCATGTTTATTATCATTATTGACTGTTGTATTACTGTGTTCACTCACCTTTGTCTAACTAATTCTAATTGACTGGGATCTTCTATCAACACCTGTACGCCCATCTTCATCTTGGACTTCTGTAAACTGAAGTCTAAACACGCTATTTTTGCCCCATTTATCCTTTTCGGTGAAGCTGAAAATATTAAGACAAACATTTTATTCTCACTGAAATAACAGTAAAAATCAAAATTTCCTTTCAATGTTGACTTGCTCTATGACTTATTACATATTTAATGTCGAGTTTCTGAGGCACTGATGAGATGTTAACGACTTTCTGGACCTGGTGGAGGGAAGAAGGGCACCAAGAGCCCCTTGCATAAATCCTAACCCTGGAATGTAAATGTTTAGCCTTTGCCATCCGTATAGCAGCAGGTAAGCCTGCACTACCGTGAAGTCTGACAGCAATCAATGTAACCATGGCAAAGACCAATATGCCTGACCAAGACAACTGATAGAAAATTTAAACTTAGCGGAAGTAAAACAACTTTTAAGTAATAATATATCTATGAAATCTTACCTAGTAGTAATGTTAAACAACTTTCAAAGGATAAAATTTCTGAAAGATTCCCATCTACTTTGAGTAGTTTTATGCCACCAAGCACTTATGTATTAAACTGATATAAACAAGGCAAGTTTTAAAATCAACATTGTGTGCCCTTAAAAATTTCGTTCTATTGCCCCTTCTGTCTGCTTAAAGTCTTACTCTAGAAGCAATTCTGTATTTTGGTAGGTTTGAGCTTCTATATAGAATCATAACCCACAACCTGCTGGAATTTTAAGTAATTAACTTTAGTCTTTGATATAGAGCCAGGCTATCCTGCACATTAGCCCTTCATCCAGTCTGATCAGACTCTAAACCTATTGGTACTGTAAAACACTTATTATTCGCGAGAAATTTATTTTCGCTAATATTCTCGAGTTTTGTAAGACGCGAATTCATATTTCTCGCGAATATTTCACTTTGTCTATACACTTGTCCGAAAATGAACACTATCCGAAAATGCGTACACATGGAAAGATATCTGTGGGAAAGTATCGAAATCAGTTCTATAGTAACATCATGTAGCTATTCAAGTGTATTCAATACATTTTCAGAATAACTGTTTTGGTATTTGGTACAAATACTTTAGCACCTGCGAGTTGTTTGTAACATTTCTATTTATTGTATCCTATTGTATTGTACTACAGTTTAAGCCGGAGGGTTAACATAATCGTTTACTACAGGTTAGGCAAATTGCAGTACCGTTTAATTGATTTTCGTCTGCTTGCCTTTGAATGGCTAATCAGTAATACATGACAAACACAGTTGACACATATCAAATAATTATCAAACGTTATTGACATATTTTTGACAGTCGGTTACCGGTTTCAAATTTTTCGGGAAGACCCGAATTCATGTTGACGCGAAATAATTATTTTGGACATTTTGCCTCAAATTCGCGAAATAAGGTTCTCGCGAAAAATAAGTGTTTTACAGTATCTCAATTTTTTTATTTTGATATTAAAATCCTTTTAGCTTTTATAGGACTTCTCTAAATTCACAGCACCGCAAACACATTACACAAATTCAATAGGTAAATGGGTTAAAACACTCACCTTGTGAGGCTACTGTACAATTGAGTGCATATCCTTGAACGAGAACACTCTCACTAGAACTCTGTCCATGAGCCTTGAGTATATTCACCGCTTTCACTGGATATCTGTAACCCCCTTTACCATCTGACATCCTAATTGCATGTGCTGCATCTACCACCATGTTTGAAAAGAAATCAGACTGACTGATAGATAAGTTAAGGAATAAAACTCTTCCAAGGCAGAAAATCAACTCTGAAGTGTGTGCATTTTCTGTGAATTTCTGCAATTGAAGGCCTATAAAAATATTTCAAATGTCGAGTTTATAAAATCATTTTACTGTCATCATATTAAAATGTCAGTAACCACTTAACAAAATGGAGCCTATTGTTTGCATTTTGGTAATTGTGAAGCAAAAGAGACATATCCCCACTTCATTTGTCTTTCACAACATATTTATGCATCAGCAATATTCCTCACTTGTTTTGGAAATAGCGCAGGTACCAAACAAAGTGGGAAAAATACCCCTATCAAGTAATCTAATGGCCACACACAATGCCTTTACAAAGTTATATAAGGACATTTGGGAAATGAGCCCCGTAACTGGGGAAAATAATCCAACATTTTTGGGAAATTTTAGAATTTTTCTCCCTTATACATGACTTATAAAGTGTTTTAACATATATGCATAATCATAAAACCTGTCATTCCTTATATGAAACAAGTCAAAACAATTAAATTTTGTTAAGAAGTCCAAACAGTTCAAATTTTTGACTGCTGTTTTGAAAATGGGAAAAAATAGGTTATATTGGATTGGGGATGGAGCCATATTTCAGTCCTTGGTACCAGGGAGAAAATACCCTGATAAAGATCTTGATCAGACAATATTAACAGGACTTTCTTATAGACACACCACATCATTACAGCAGTGATTTTTTTCCTGTATTTTACAGCCGAATAAAGGCCGTTTACCCTAGCCCAAAATAAATATATTTCTCCTAAAAATGCTAATATTTTCCCCTGAAATGCCCTGTGCAGTTCTTCACCAGAACCATGACTTAACAGCATCTGATTTATGTCAGCTAGAAGTCCCTGATAGCCTCTTCTACAATGCATGCTAAACTGAATTAAAATTGAAAATTTTATAAAAATGTGTGGGTAAATTCCCTTTTCAGTTGTTGAAATTTGACTTCAGGTTTCCCCTTTCTAATTTACGGTACTGTATTTTCCCCTTCAGAAAGCCACAGGCTGTTTTGAAAATCGAAAAAGAATTACTGTACAGTATGCTCCCTACTTTTTAAGTGACTACATAAAAAAAGAAATAAAGAAATTGCCCATTTGGTAATAAAGGAAATTATGCATACAACTTGCAAGTCAAAGTTTGTTCCTTTTGATCATCAAAGATTTTATAAATACTCCAGAAATTTGGAAAAACAACAAAAAAACACTGCCATAAATCATGCTTTGGATCATCAGAAGTTCTTTAGTAATAATATCTGTAATAAAGTGGGTGCTTCCAAACTATTAATGTCAGCAAATGAAAATTAGCAAAAACCAATAGAAATTAAAGAAATAATGATGTGAAAATACAGATTGCACAATGCAATGTGCAGTCATTTCGTTGACAGCAGATCTGTTTTCCACCATTTTCTATGTTTCTAGGTCACTAAATGAATAATGATGTGCTGAGCCATCAATAAACTTTTAATTAAAGGCACATTATGCCTTGGAAATCCATATAAATTAAAATCTTTAGAAAAGTCAAACATGTGTTTAATAACATTTTAATAATGGCTTTAGAGCATGTTATATGTTTAACAGCTGAAGAAAATAGTGTTAAATGTGCAGAAATGTGTTGTAATGGTAGCAAAATGTAAACATAGTAGTATTTTGACTTCTATATAAAATACTAGTTCCCAATAACTGCCAACAAAAGCAAAGAGGAGCAAAGAAATTCATCAACATGTATATGGCAAATGGCTCTTTTTTTTCGAAACTGAAACAAAACACCAATATAATAAAGTTTATGAGAAGAACAAAAGATAACATATCTGAGGCATAATGGACCTTTAAAAGGTGCCAAGCTATAATGTTTTCCCAATAGACTTTTAGTGCTGCTCTTGGAAACAGCAGCATAAGAAGGTGCCATATACAATCTATCAAACAAACAAACAAACATAGAACAACAATGTTTAACATCCATAACCAAACACTCTGTAAATTTATCATGGTTATATCACTGTCGTGACAATCCTATATATCATAGACTTCCTATCTCTGGTCTCCAAGGGCATACGTGAAAAGTTTTTTTTTAACAGCTATATCAGAGGGAATGTGAGGAATGTTTCTTTAAACATTAATCAACAGAATCAGTGGCACGCTCTGTCTGTCTACACTCTTTCGTATTACAATAACATACTTTATTTAGATGAAGTATTTGACAAGACATTATTACTTCCTCAATAACTTGGGAGACATTTAAGAACAGATACCTCAGTAAATGCCACCAGTTCTAACCATATAAACAAACATTTTCATTATATTGTGATCCTCTTTCACATAAACATCAGTTTAGCTACATTTTCTTTTTTTCACAAAACATGATTTTTTTACAGTACAATCCCAAAACTTATCACATTGAACAATCATTTCTTTTTCATACAGCCAATTTTTTTTACTAGTTGAGCCATTAACAGACTTTTTGTTCTCTCATTTAAACAGGGAGGGGCACACTCCTTAAATTTGGGGGAAAATAAATTATCTTTTTAAAGATTTATTTTCTCAGCTTTCCTGAAATAACAAATTAATATGCACTTTACTAACATAGACTTACATATAATGAAATAAAACATTTATCTTTCATAGTTTTATGCTTTATCTTATAATAAAAAACACTCAAACTTTACTTATATTGTCTTTTAAACATCTATGAATTGATAAATTAAACCAATTCAACTTTGAGGTTTAATGTGTTACTTTTCCCCAGTGTATATACTAAAAGGTGAAATAAAACACCAAAAAGCAAGTTGAATGGGGGTATCTTTTTTTTTTTGTTAACTAAGAGTTATATTTCAGTGCTATAATAACAATGGGATACAACTCTTTCACTGACAATCATTCATGCTGACAAGAATCATGTCCCTTTTCAAACACACACATTGTTCTTATTACAAATAACTGAATGAATTATTTGTATATATATTCAATTTATACAAAGAACTATTCTTTTATTAATTAATGTAGATCAACTGGGGCACTAATAATGGTAAAATTCCAAAGATATTGAAGAAATACAATTATAGGACTGCTATAAATGAACTGGAAATTGACAAGTATTCTTAGCCCACCCATTTTTAGTAGAGATGCTGCGGTTTAAATGATACCGGTAAACCACGGTCCAGAGACATCTGCGTACGTACCGCGGTACAGACCTGGAAAAACGGTCATTTTAGCTCTAATTTAAAGCAATTACAGATCCGTAAAATGTACTAAATTAAAAACTTTTTCTGTTGTATATGTCAAATGTTTCTTTGAGTTAACCTTTTTGCAACAACTTTCGCCGACTGTTATCATTCTTCCCATAGTTCTTAGCGAAAATTGAAATGCTTTATCGATTACCGCATGTAACCGTAGAATTGTCGACTTGCATGATCTCAGTTGAAGAAGCAAGAATTGTCGACTTACATTTTCTTGTCCAAATATCGCTTATTTGATACAAAAAACTAATCGTAAAAGATTGATAATTCATGAGGGCATTCCTTGCATAAAATTAGGGTGTTACTATTTTAATAGTATTTAATATAAATAGCGACCAATCAGGCTAGGGTTTTCCTTACGTCACGCACTTACTGCATGCGCATGGCAATTAACTAATTATAGAACGGCGTAGAAACTGGATTAAAAGTAATGTTCATTCAACTAATGAATATTAATTAAGCAGTAACATGGTCAGCTGTTTTCTATGTGATAATTTTAATTTGCTTTTGGGGTACATGTTTGTTTTGGTTTCTGAACAAGATTAATTAAATACTTAGCCCTTGCAAATAAACAAATTTACAATAGCAGCTGATAAAATTAACAGAAACATTGGCTAACGTGCATTTGACCTATTATTTTATTTATTATAAAAACATTTTATTTTTCCATTTTAACTATGCAATTTATATAACAGTTGTTAAATGTTGAAAGAGACCAATATGTTATAAAAAAAAACCCAACAAGAACTGATCCATGACCCAATTAATTTATAATTGTCAACATGCGAAATTTAAGTTACCTGATTGAAAAAAAGTTAAATGATGCTTTGATTAATCTGTATTTTATAGATCTGCTTGAATTTAATATTTGAAATTCTATACCAAGCCTACCTTGATACACTTATATTTTAGAGATAAAAATTAACGCTATAGCGTACAATTTGAAAATCCGTGGTTTATTACCGCGTTTATATACCGTGGTTTTTAGGGAAAAAACGTGGTATACCGTGGTATTTTCTTTCTGGCGGTACCAACTCTAATTTTAAGGTCTATGATTTTGCACAATTAAAATGATTATTCTGCAGTATAATGATAGCAACCCCAGTTAAATTTTTTAACTTCAATTGTATTGTCTTGTAAATATGTTATAATTATATAAGTTTAAATGTAGACAAACATGTAACACTTTAAAGTTTGTAAATAACCTAAAAAAATAAAACTAGAAATGTGTCATCATGCCACGGATGCCCCCGCATGCAGCCAAAATTTCAGATGTTTATAATATTTAGTTCCAATTTTGTTTGCACAAATTATTGTTTTTCAATTTTAAAGTTCAAAGCCTTAAAAACTTTTCAACGTTTACATCAACCATTTTCATACAATGTTCAAGGCACTGAAATTATTCAGTCTTAACCTTTTGAAAATAGCATATTTCATATTTGTAGCCAAAAATAATGGCTACATTACATTTCCACAAAAAAAGTATGAGTGCTTATACTGAAAGTTTCAATTTTTTTCCATATTCAAATGAAAGAAAGTTTTGTCTAAATATTGAACCATTATACCTCTCTCAAACTTAAATACTGCTTATGCCTTAAGATGTTTTTTTTTACTATATTATAATACTATATTTATTATTTTCAAGTGTGTAATAAGGTGTACATTACCAGCTTCTGCCAAAGAAATCATCTAACCATGACCAATTCCAACTTGGATCTCATGCCCCGATT